AGAGAGAGAGAGAGAGAGAGAGAGAGTCGTGTAACAATGTCAGTCTATCCGGGTTTGTTCTGCCCTACTTCGTCCCTTACGGCGGCTTTTGTTCACCGACTGGGCCCCCTCTTCTTCGGATCAGATCAGATTACCGGTCACGAGGCGCTTTAGCCGACGAAATGCGGGTTTCCATTGCACCGAATTGGCAACGTAAGGGGATTGGGAAACGCGAGACCCTGCCCCGTAACCCTTTTCATCCCTCTGTTTCTTCGCGCGCACTCCCCCCAAATGGGAAGTCTCTTCTTTAGTCTCGAATGTCGTTGGAGAACCTTGCTCGATCACGTTTCTCCTTCTCTGTCTGCAAACTCGTTAAAGACGAAACGACACAGTTCGTTATAATTTTAATGTTAAATACTTTCGATACTCTTCGGTTTCATGAAATTATGGAAGATGCAGGTGGATATGTTGCGCTTGAAATTTACCCTCTCATCACAGCATGAGTAAGTCTCTCTTAAGCCACTGCAATGATAATAAAATCCCTACGTAAAGTTATTATTCCGAAAAAGAAATTTTTACTGCATGTGTGTAGAGTCATTTATACGGGATGGTTTTACGTACATGTGACAATCTATAGGCGTGATAGAGAATGATTAATAACATCCATTAAATATGGCTTGAAGGATCAGTCAGAATATTTCTTGCACAGAATTTGATTTTTTTGTTGTGAGTTCATCCATTGGAGACTATGATGGTAGAAATAATATGCCTTGTCTGATCAACAAGATCACGCACTTTCTGAATTTTTTTGAAGGCTTGGTCGAGTGATTGCATGTAATTACGAATAAAATCACAAGAAATGATAAAATTTCGTCATTACTTCACTTTTGTGTCAAAACTTTTGTGTGAATTTGATTCGCAAAGAGGTTAATTTATAGTGTGAAAAAATGAATATGATCAGAAGGGTTAATTTGAAGTTTAAAACGAAAACTGGGGCAAAAGTACTTGGAGCGAAATTTTCTTTGAAATTCTCTTTCGTGGCCACGTCGTTAGAAAATGGATTTTGACAATGTCAGTTGATTGAAAAGAGAATCCCACTCGCTTCTATCTTTCCCTCTAAAAACTCGATTAAAGATCGAACGACAGTTTGTTACAATCTTGTGGATACCTCGATTATTTTCAATTTCGTAGAATTGAAAAAAAGAAGGTGGAAGAAGATAGTGAGAAAGTACGGAGCGAAATTCACCTCGGAATTCCCTTCGATGGCCCATTCCTCGTGTTAGAAAATGGATTCTGACAATGCCAATTGAGTGAAAAGAATTGCGCACTTCTATTCTTCTCTCATCAAAAACTCGTGAAACGATAATTGTAGTATTGTAATTATAATTTTGACGTTCTCCAATGTCATAAAATTCCACAAAATTTTCAATAATTTTCAATTTCACAGAAAGATTGTAGAACCCGGAGAATGTATCGAACGAGTCCTTGGAAATTCCCTTTCGCAGCCACGAAGTGTTGGAGAATAGATTTTGATAACGGTCGGTTGATTGAAAAAAATTGCGAATGAAAAGGGACGAGAGAGAGAGAGAGAGAGAGACCTTCTTTCGTTCACCTCGTTGTTACGGGGGATGGAATTTTATTTATCGAGCGCGCGAGTGGTTTTGTTTACCTCCACCTTTCGATTGTTCTCTTGGAGAAGAGACGTCGAATAGATGGGGCTAAGTGGATACAGAAAGTGGATTGGATGGGACCTTTGGACCCTTGGAAGTGTCTCAATTATGTTGCAGTTCTTTGAGGGGGAAGATTCGTGAAGACGGGTTTGAGTTCGCCCAGCGAGAACGTTTCGTGAGAAGGGTTGATGAAAAGGGTTTGTGTTTAGACGAAGGTTAAGTGTTTCTTTTGTTTCTTCTTTAATTTAGCGTGTTATCGGAGACGATCAAAACACGGTAGGTTAAACGATGCAATTGTTTCTTGGCCGTTTCATTAAGAATTCAGCTACAACGAACGATCATAAAGTCAAAGTAGAATTCAAGTAGTGCAGGCAAATAAATGAGCCAACTTGTGCCCCGCGAGTAACGCGTATCAAGCAATGCACTAACCAGCCTTGTTAAAAATCTCAAAGAAGCGATCGCTTTGTTCCATTGGTTTTTAACTGGCTTCGAATCGAATTGTCGAGACTGTCAACGAAGAAGATCAAAGAGAAAGATCAAATCTCTTCGCTCTGTGTGTGTACGTGAAACTTTTGTCGACGTTGGCGTTATTGTGCTCGAATACGACCGGAAAGAAAAGCTTTCGAAAGCGAAACAATGGCGTTTAAATTGCAGATAGAGTTTCAAAAGGACCACTTACCCGTAACGACGACGTTAATCGTTTTAACCAACGGCGGATGCGTGGCGACTTGGCACTTGTATAAGCCGGAGTCTCGCGGGGTCGCGTACTGGATCTGTAATCTCCAATTGCTCGGGTACCTGTGACGTCAGAAAAGAAATAGAAAATTTCATTCGGCCCTTCGTGTGTGTGTGTGTGTGTGTGTGTCGTCAGAATTTCCGCGTGCGTTCGACTTACACGGCTTTAATAAATGTCAACGATTCGAAGGTTAGGTGAAAAATATCGAGCTACGCGAGTTTCATCGCACTTTGTGACAAGGGAATCTCTATCGTCGAAGATAGAATTTCTCGGCAATGTTGGTAATGGCTTCGATCAGGATTTCACTGCGTCGCGAAATCGTAGTAATTTTCGTCCAATACGAATGCAAAATATCTCTCGTTCTTTTAACATGGATATCTGTCACCGCGGTTCAATGCATAAATTTCTGCTCGGCTCGAGGCTCGACGAGAGTAAAATTCGATTCTTGCCGGGATAAAACGTAATTAAAACTTTTCAGTTCGGAAAGTTTTTCGCATTGAAGTTGACAACCGTCAGGTTTGTGTACAATTTTTAAATTCAGTTCGTTACTTGTCTTTCTCTATCGAGATCAACCAGTTTTGTACGAATACGAAATATTCTCCTTCTTTTGAAATGGAATTTTCCAAATTTTTCTTTAACTTGTCGACAAGAATAATTCGATTTTTGTTATATATATTTTTGTTGTTTGATTCAAGTTAAAATCGTCAAGTTTATATACAAATTCAATTCAGTTACTTATCCCCCTCTATCGAAACCAAGCAATGTATTTACCAAAGTCAAACCTTAATCATTTTTGTCCTGCATGAATGCGATATATTCCTTTAAAATCTGTCGACTTTTGTTAGGATCAAATATAATTGAAACTTCTCGGGCAAAAACTTTTACGTTCGAATCGACGTTACAATTGTCAGGATTACGTATAATGTTCCAAATTTATTATTTTCCTCTGTCGTGATCAACCGTATGTCAAATCGTAGTAATTTTCATCCTGCACGAGTGCAAAATATTCTTCTCAAGTTCGGATCGAAGTTACAAAATTACACGCATATTTCGTAATTTTATCTTCCCGTGTCGAGATTAACCGGAACATCAATTCCCACGCGTTTCAGCAAACTATGCGAGACGCTGTGGGAGCATCAGCCGTATTATTTCGTTAATTTCACTTACCGAAAGTTGAGGCTGATCCTTTGATCCACGCTGTAGGGGATCCTACCGAAGGTGAGTAGCCGGAACGAGTCCTTGCTCGGCTGCTGCACCCACGTCACCTGGATCGCCACGCAGAAAATATCTTTCGTTATTGCCTCATAAATCACGGATTTCTCGGTGCAGGAAGGGGAGGGGAGGAAACACACAGACGCGTTTCCCCGAGTGGAAAAGAATCGTCGCATTGTTTCTGGCAGACAGCCGTGGAATTAAGCGGAATCTCGTCGAAAGTTAATAATTTCGCGACAAGGAATCAAGGGTGAAGCCTCTCTGCCTCCCTCCGCAGGGAGTTGGATCGTTCCCGAATGAATGCGCCGTGCAATTTCACGCTAAGCGTTCGGAGAAAGAGCGGCTTACGTTTCTGCCTCCCTTCCTCTTTTCAACCCAGCCTCCCGTCCTCCTGCCACATGATTTTCACAGCGTATTTTCTTTTTCTCTCTTCTTCTTATTCTTCTTCTTCTCTTCGTCTTTCATTCACGTATCCGTCCGCGGGGAACTCTGTGTATTTCACGCGGTACGTGACGAGTGTCGCAATAACGGGGATATCCACCTGATGAAGCGTCGTCGGAGTTTGTCGAGTAATTGTTTAAGTCTAAACGGAATCTTTCCTCGTTCGAGTATTTTCGACGCGAGCCAATGGATCGAACGTCAATGTCCGAAGCTTAAATTCGTTTTTTTCAAACGAAAGTATCGACGCCCGCGCATCTCGGTTCAATCGAATGACATTCCGCGAGCTTTTTCTGCAAACTCGTTCGACATGAAATTCGACGATTTGGAATTCGA